GTTTGAAACTTCATGACATTGTTAATTAAGACAAACAAACAATTATATTGTGAACAATTAAGCATGTAAGGCTTTTGATATGTTATATTCTCTTTATATTATGGCAGCCAGACTTTGCAGATGCATTAGGTGGATTTTAGGCCAAACTATGACATTACAAAGAAAATATAGTTAATTTATCTTTTATGTTTGAAAAATAGCTCTCTGCAGTAACACTGGATAGTTTAATCAATCAATCAATCAATCAATCAATCAATCAATCAATGTTTATTTATATAGCCCAATATCACAAATGTTACATTTGTCTCAGTGGTCTTCACAGTTTGTACAGAATATCAGTATGACAATACGACACCCTCTGTCCTTAGACCCTCACATCGTACAAGGAAAAACTTCCGGAGAAAACCCACAGTTTACTTTTAGAGACTCTAGGAACAACCAACAACCCTGCATTCTTGGAATGCAATGCCCTAGTAGGACAGTAGGGTATAATGAGTTATTTAAGGTAAGATGGTGCCTGCCCATTAAGGGCTTTGTAGGCGAGAAGAAGAATTTTAAATTCTATCCTGTGTTCTAGGGAGCCAGTGTAAGGCAGCCAGAACAGGAGTAATGTGGTCCCTTTTCCTAACTCTGGTTAGTACACGAGCTGCAGCATTTTGAATCAGCTGAAGCGACTTGACTGACTTCTTGGTACACCCTGATAATAAGGAGTTACAATAATCCAGCCTTGAAGTAACAAATGCATGGACTAGTTTCTCTGCGTCGTTTTGAGGCAAGATATGCCTGATTTTTGCAATGTTACGTAGATGGAAGTAGGCGGTCCTTGAAATTGATTTTATGTGGGCGTTAAAGGATAAATCCTGATCAAATATAACACCAAGATTGCTTACAATCTCACTGGAGGCCAAATTAATGCCATCCATAGTTAGTATATTTTTAGATAATTTGTTTCGTAGATTCTTCGGGCCAAGTACAATAACTTCAAAAAATGTAAGGTCATCCACGTTTTTAAGTCCTTGAGGCAGTCTTGAATTTTATTTAGATGATTAATTTCATCAGGCTTGATTGATAAATATAGTTGAGTATTATCTGCATAACAATGAAAGTTTACAGAATGATTCCTTATAATATTGCCTAATGGAAGTATATAATGTGAACAAAATAGGTCCGAGCACTGAGCCCTGTGGCACTCCATGGCTAACTTTGGTTTGCATGGAAGATTCATCGTTGACACGTACAAACTGAGAGCGTTCAGATAGATAGGACCTAAACCAGCCTAAAGCAGTTCCCTTTATGCCAACTAAGTGCTCTAATCTTTGCAATAGGATATCATGGTCGATAGTATCAAATGCAGCACTGAGATCGAGCAAAACAAGAATAGAGACAAGTCCCTTGTCTGAGGCTATTATAATGTCATTTGTGACTTTAACCAGAGCTGTCTCTGTGCTATATTGTGTTCTAAAGCCAGCCTGAAAATCTTCAAATAAATCATTGTTTTTTAAGTAATCACACAGCTGTTTTGCGACCGCTTTCTCAAGAATTTTCTTATTCTCATCTATTAATGAAGAGTAGGCTGCTCTTGCTTTACGCAGTGCTTTCTTATATTCATTGAGAGTAATATGCCAAATTAAACGAGATTCTTCAAGTTTAGTGGAACGCCATATCCTTTCAAGTTGTCTCGACTTTTGCTTTATTTTGCGGGTTTCGGCATTATGCCATGGAGCTAATCTATGTTGTTTTATTTTCTTCTTTTTCAAAGGAGCAACAGAGTCTAATTGTATTCGCAGCGCATCTGTAGCACTATCAACAACATGATCAATTTGGGGTGGTGTACATTTTGTATACGTTTCCTCCCTTACATGCAGACATGCTATCGAGTGGATAGTATTGGTGGAATCTTTTCCTTAAATTTGGCTATAGCACTAAGTGTTAAAGTTTAAAGTGCTATATAACCTTATCTCCAGAAGGTGTCAGCAAATATCTACAGTAAGTACAGTCGATGCCTGTTTATCACAGAGACAAGGTAACAGATTGTTACTCAAAGGGCTTTGAGATTGTTTACCGAGTATTTATATGTTGTATATATTGAGACTAAGTGAAGCTAATAACCATGAGATCATGTATTTCCCTTAACTTTAAATATATCGTCTAACCATTGTCTTATGATATTTAAATCACATACAATTTTTGTGATTTATTACTGAGTCACTGACCTGGTTGTCAGGTTTAGCTGGTTAACATGTTTCCCTATCCTATTATTTCCCTAAATCCTTCCTTCTCAACACTTGCTCATCCTTTGCAAAACCTCAGAGCTCAAAATAGAAACATAGCATAACTACAAAGGTAACCAGCATGCCCTACTGTCAGATTAGATAGAGCTTTATTGTCTCCCTTAGGAGAAATTGGTATGGGCATCGAGATAATAAACATAAAACATTTAGGACAATCAGTCATAGATACAGAACAGAGATCACATAGATCAGCACAATGCACCACGTCTAACCTGTAGTCGTAACATCGGTGCTCTGTTTCTGGGTTCAACAACAGCCTCTAGTCCCCTGTGGCCCTTCAGCTCAGCACAGCGCTCAACAAAAGGCTTCAGAGCTCATCAAACTCAAAACCTCCCACAGTAACAACGCTCCATATCAATTAAACCCAAATCCTGGGGAGGGCAACAAGCTGTGGGCTCAAGCAGCTTTTACGGGCATCACAAAGCAGGAACGCTTCCAACGACCTAAGAGAAGTTATTTTGAGGAAAGGTTTATGCCCAAGGCTTCCCCCGGTTGCAAAATGCTTTTTTTATTTTCACTGAGCTACATGGCTAAATTAGACAGAATGTTTTGCGAACATGTGTGTGTGTTTGTGTGTGTGTGACTGTGCATGTGTAGGCACCCTTTCACTTTGCAACTCTGAGGCTTTCTGCTTTTCTGAAGGATATATTGTGTGTATCGCTGCTTTGAACTTCAACACACACATATCCAGCAGTTGCCAAGCAATTACAGAAAGCCTGCTCGGGAGCACCTTTTGGAAAACCAAACAATGTTTTGACTTTTTTTTTCCTATTTTGTTTTTGTTTGGTCAGAGAATGACATAATAAAATATGAATGAGAAATATGGTCGGTGCCTCTGAGCTCCATGTCTGCGAGGTCCAGGTGGCGAGTTATGACAATTCGTCTCCTGACCGCGGTACAGCTGGGACGCTGAGGGCCAGATGGTCCGCTCACAACAGGTAATCACAGCCAGCATGCTGATGCACTGACATCCTCACAAATGGGTTACCAGAACTAACCAGAGAATTTGGGACGCTGTGATAGTATCCCCTCCCCTGGCCGTCTCTGGGGCCTTCTATCGAGTCTGGCACCGGTGCTGTGTATTTTGTAAATAAATCCACATTCATAAATTCCCCTGTAGCTGTACTCATTCCAGGCCATGAGTGCATACTATAATGTCAAATGATGTTTCACAAAAGTTTGTTTGTGAAGTGAATATCATTTAGTCCTTTCATGAAAGCAATTTATAGCAAATGTCAGATGGGCCCAGCTCCTATTAAAGCTCCCCTGTAGAGGCAAGCTACTTTAATAATCCTACTCCTTGAGGTTTCCACTTGCATGAATTCATTGAATTAATTATTTTTGAAAGGTTTTGGTTATTATTTATAGTCTCGAAATAAAAAGTTTAAAACTGTTTACGTGGCATTGTAAGTGTTTTTTAAAAAAGGTTGGTGTGTGTGTGCGCAGCGCTTTCAAGGTGATGATGATGGGAAAACAAAATGTTCTCAAGAGTCACGAAAGGTATCAGCATGCAGGTACGGGTCATTGTATAATGTGAATGTTACATAAATATGTACTGGCCTACATGCAGATGGAAGATAATTGTTATACTAAAGTTAAGTATCACCAAAAGCTATTGTATTCGTCTTTAATAATGCAGTGGAAATCATTATGGATCATAATCAGATACACTATATTAGCAATAAGAGCTAATGCCCTTCTGTCAGTTTATAAATCCTCAGTACAAACAGCTCTATAATGCACACACCTCCCCCAGTCTCTAACTTGCTCCCCCTCCCTCTCTGCTTCTTTCAGCTCACTGAACTGAGTGAAATGTCTTTCCGACTAAATGATTTTTTTTTTGCACGGTGGGAACGTTGCCATAGAGACAGCAGCCCCCCCATCCCATCCCTCCTTCCACTTTTCTCTCTCAACAGTCTACACAGCATTAAAGCTGTGCTAACTGGTGCGTTGTTACGTGTGTATGTGCACGTGTGTGTCTCACTCTTCGTGAACCGTCAACAACACTGTCAGTGTGCTGCAGGTGCCCCATGATGAGTGCGTCTATATACAGAACCATCCTCCTCTACATCCTGTCTCCACTTCTACTCATACACACACACACCGCATGCAGCTTCACTCTCTTGTCCAGGTTTTCCCATTTGCGTCCTCCTCCTCCACTCTAGCATATCCCGCTCTTCATCCTCCTTCATCTGTTTAATCCTCTCCTACTCCTCCCTCTCTTCCATTCCCCTGCTCAGTCTTCCTCCTCTGCTGAAGCGCTGGAGTTGCATATTGCTACTGGTGTGCTTTTTCGCATTAACAAGAGATAATAACCACATTTTCAAAATAAAAAAGGGGGACAAATAGGCGCAGTGAGGCCAGATGGAGCTAAGCACACGGGGCAGGCAGCCATGCTCCATTTTGCATTTAGGCAAAATGCGGCCATTATAAAGAATTCATGACAAAGTGGCTGAATAATTACACATGACTTAATGCACAGTAGAAAGTCAGAGAGCTTAGTCATAAAAAAAGTTGAGTTCAGGCTGCTTCTGTCCAGGTAGAGTGTATTACCTCCCATGCCCGAGTCAAATAGACTATACATCGGAAATGCCCAGGGCCTATCATAATAAATATATATATAGCACACTGCATGGGATGTGTGACAGTAGCTTCACCCCCTCTCCAGCCTCCCAAGCCAGTGGATTAAAGAACTCAGAAACACGAAACTGGATGATACATATCCTTTATTTCCATTATCATTGCTTCAGCCACACTGTTACTTACACATTCACCGATATCCTGCGACCTGGTACAGCAGTCCCGACTGAAACAATCGCCTTGACTGAACCCCTCACTCAAATTCTCAGCTTTAACCAATAAAAAAAGTAAACTTCTTGAATAAATTAAATATAAAAAAACAATTGAAAAATAAAAAGAATACCAATTCGAGATAAATACAGCATAAACAATGTTATTTCATCATCGTTGTTTTTGACCACAGAGATAAACAATTGCTAGGTCTCCATTAAGTCGTCATTAGTAGTATTAGTATCAAGTTCATTGTCAGATTTTGCTTAAAGCATTACTTGTATAATTTTTCATTGCATCAAGTTGACATCATTCATGTTAATATAAGCATGCAAACATGTTTCCCCATTACCATTCAGAACTGCACTAACACGAGAAGACAGCGAGAGAGAATAGAGAGGACGGAAGGAGGGTGTCATACACAGAAAGAAAGAGGGCAAGATGGAGGGATGAGAGATAGCAGAGGAAACTGGAAGGTTGGGCTGGTGAGAAATTAGAGCGAGAATAGGACAAGTAAGTGGGAGCGGGGGGAAAGGTAAGGATTGCTGGAGGAGATAATGAGTAATCAGAAAGTAATCAGACAGACAGAAACAGAAAGAGAGGGGGGTGGCAAACAGAGGGAGGAAGAGAATAACGGAATGTGCTTGTTCCACTATGGTTTTGTAATCCATCACCAGGCAGTAACACAAGGGCTAAATAGGGTAGACACAAGCACAGAGAGAGAGAGAGGCTGGGAAAGAGAGAATTATGGGGCCTCGAGACCAATGGATCAATACCATATCTACTTATACAAGCTGGTCGATAATCCCCCTGCTGACATACCACGCAGAATACTTGCAGGTTTGATGCGGGGTGTGTCATCTCCTGTATACCCGATCAAGCACTACGGTGAGTCTCACAGCACTTGCATAGACCAAAGGTAAGAGAGAGAATCTAAGTCCCTACCCTGAAGCACACACAAACACCTCTGTAAAAGTGTGTGTGATAGAATGAGAGAGAAAGGGCAACGATAGCAATACAAGTAGCTGTAGTGAGGTGTTGCACTGTTGTTTTGCTGAGGTTACAGTAGTAGCGGTGACAGACATGGCTTTATAAGTCTGTATCGGTTTACACAGGAAGTGCAAAATCCCTGGCGCTTTCTCTCTCACAACACCTCCTCCCTGTTGTCTTTCTCTAAGGGGATCTACATTTGTCATGATCTGTAGGCCGTGACAAATGAGCCTTGGATACTTTGTTTCTTTTATTTTTTTTTCCTTCTCGTAAATGTAATCAAAACACTCAACAATTCAATTTTCAATCAGTGTGCAATTAGTTTTTTCCCTCGGACATACAGTTCACAATTTACTGAAAGAAGTACACGATCAACACAGTTACTTACATCAGGCAAAGAGTTAGAGAGGAGAGGGGTTGAATGATTGGCAGCTGATTTCAGAGACAACATAGACAATACAAACTAGTGTCTATGAAAGACAGTGTATCCCCACCTATTTCAATGAGGCACATATAGTACACACATACAAACCCACACACAAACAAAATGGCTCCTTGTAAAGACACGGGACAGAAGACACGTTTGGCTCCAAGACAAGCGTTTACGTCTGTGGATGCCGGGGATTTGGGGAGTGAAGGAGGCAAAGACAGAAAAAAGACGAGGAAGGGGGCGAGCAAAGAGACGTGTCACACACAAGGTCACAGTGACACACAGGCATACACAATCACACAGACACGCACAAATACAAAACAAACACGCCCATAAACACGGAAACACACACTAATAAAAGCAACACGGAAGTGTGTGTCCTTCTAAAGTCTTGTAAGGGGCATGATGGGGACTTGAAGATAGTCATTTAGTTGAAGCTGGATGATGACTTCTTGAGAAAAGAAAAGAGTCCTGGAATGATAGAAAAATCAAATAGAGTGGTGATATCCTTCCCTGTTGGATACATCCTCTAGCGAGTGCACTCCAAACAGATGCTGGTCCGATCCTAAACGCAGGTTTCGTTCAACCTGTGTAGTCCTACATTCGGAAAAGTCTGCCAGTTAGGCCAAAATGCAGAGGACGATCAAAGAGTCCATGTCTACTGGAAGCTCACACCACAGCATCCTCAGCGGATTGTAAAAATAGCATGACTAAACTCCTTTTCTGATGGTTATGTGTGTTCCGTATCAAACAGACAACAGAGCAAAATAATGATAGAAGTGTTGCCACTGATGAGCACCATAATAATGGTGACAAAAAGCACAAAGAAGAGGGACACATTTCAAGGTTGCGTAACATGCTTAAACCAATGAGTCAGTCCTCATTTTTCCCTCCTCTGACATCATTAAAGACCACTGGACGCTTTGTCGTCTTTCCTCTGGGGAAAATAAGCGAATTAAGTCTTAAACAATAGGACGTGGAGCCTGGAGAAGGCATCCAAAAGGGCTGGGAGAATCCACCTCAAATGTTTCGTCCTGCTAAGTACTACGTGAGATGTTTTTCCCATACAGTACGGCATATACTGTACACAAATATTGCAAAGAAAAATATCGACATAGTGATTTTCTTCTTTTATAGTCTGTACAAGGGCATGAACCTTTGGTCCTAGTTGAAACAACCATTTTAGGATGGCTTTCCTTTTTTTTTTCTTTTCAAAAAAGAAAAGTTTGTCACATCACACTCTTCCTAGATGAAATGCTACACTAATCTGAAGCACACATGAACTATGCACATACTACAAACTATGTGTGTATCTGTGTGTGTGTGTGTGTGTGTATGTATGAGTTATATGTTTTTTGTTCCCTTGCTAGATCCCAAATGTACACCTGAAATCACTCCTACTGTACCATTTAGTGTTAGCATGTGTTTGTTAATTTAAAGTCTGATGCTCAAGGTGTAGCTTGGGTTGGATGTTGTTTTTTTTCTCCCGGCTCGGTAAAGACAGCACAGGACTTGAAGAATTCATTAGCAGGAGCAAAACAGCACTAGCAGTAGGACACTAGTAGTGTCTCCGCGTCTCTCTTTCTTTGATGGAGAGAATTATTCACAGATGAGGAAAGAAAGGAAAGTCTGGAGCTGGAGAGATGATAAAGACCTGAGGAAAAAGGGGATAAGGGAGAAGAGACCGATTAAGCTAGAGAGAGACAGAAGGGGGCGAGAGAATATATAAACAGTATGCAGTACTGTACGTTTGGAAGGAGGAGGGGGAGATGCATTACATAACCCATAACATCTAGATTATACAGATGCTTCTGCCTTGGAGCTTCTACATCTGACAGCGCCACAGCCTCCACTTTATCACACACTCACAGCTAGGTCATGCCTTTAAAGACTCAACCACTTTTCCTGTGTAAATCTGTCTCGAGAGCATCTGCTGCACAGTACGTGGATGTACTTTAAGATTTTAGCATAGCGAGTTCTGTCCAGTTTACAAGCAGAAATCAAGGAGGCAGTGGATTTTATGTAAAATAGTGATGCAGATTCCAATAGCCTAGAAAATAAGAATACAGACTGTGTGACAGCATGCTGATAAGACGTTTAAAAATCAATATGTCAGATCTAAAACAGGAGAGGCTCACAGTTTTAATCGGAGTGAGGACTGTCCACCACGATGTTCGGCTTAGCGGAGGATTCTGGAGCAGTCTTCGACACAAATGTACCAATCGCTTTTTCCTGCAGGGAAATAGAGATTTTGCTTGCGTTAATTATTAATGGAAAATAGAAACTCTTTTTATACATTCAGTTGAAGTAATTAAAATGTTAATATGATCATATATTTAATGTTACTGTCATGCTTTGTAGTGGAGTACCACTACTATTTTTGCTACTGTACTTAGTGGTGGAAAGAAGGGTAGTAGAATTTCTCAACTCCTGTACATCAAGGAGTAGTTAGACATTTTTAGGACATTTTCTTATTCTTCTTCTTGCCAAAAGTAAGATTAATACCACTGTATGGTAAATATGAAGCTACCGCCAGCAGCCAGTTGGCTTAGCTTAGCACAAAGACAGGCATAACAACGAGGGTAAACAGCTATATCCCAGCTCCATTCAAAGATAACTAAATTCTCCTCTGAAGCACCTCTGACTGTGATATCATTAACATGTTATATCTCGGTTGATTAATCCACCCAATCAAAGTGTAAAAAAAAGGAAATCCTTTCAATAATTTACATGTTAGAATTGTATTAATGTATATAGATTAATTACCCAACAAGATGTAAAGTAATTAAAATATTTTGCAATTCTGCTTATTGCAAATAGTTTATCTAGAAATGTCACATAGCTAAATATGTTATTATGTATGCGAGACTTTTACTTGCTGAATAATTGTACCTTTTAGAACTTTCTTAAGAAAAAAAACACCTGAATAATTATGTTATCACTGCTGCTTTAATGTTAAAGTGCCATTACTTCTATTCTATTATCACAACTTTTGCTATTCTAAAGGCACACACAGTCATTACCTCCACAAGCTGATACCAATTTTCTATTGGTTTGCGTGGATTGGCCAGCATGGCTGTCCAGTGCTCCCTTCCTGGTCCTTCAGCCTCGCTGCCGACACGACACATCCCTATAACCTCGTTATGACCAATACTAACATGAAGCAAGGGATGGAAGCAAAGACAAGAGAGACAGAGAGACAGAGGGGGGGGTGATGGCATGGATATAATAAAGCAGAGAGGGAGAGAAAGGGCTTGTAAGAAACAGGCAGGCAGAGTCTAATCTATCAACCCTGAGTACTAGAAAAAGAATACAGTGGCTGTGGAGGAACAGCAGCTCGCAAATACATACAGCCTTGCATAAAAGCTTGATGAGAGCGGGGAAGCAGGCACGAGCACAAACATACAAAAGCATACACCTATGGAGATGCCAAATGAAGGGCAGTATACATAATAGAGGAGCAAGTATCTATTTACAAACACATCAACCAGCCGAATGTTGATGCAAGCGTCAGACAGACAAACGCTGGCAGGGTTACACTTCTTCCTGCCATTAGCATAAATCATGCTTATTCATGAGGTGCCCGACTATGTAAAACAGGGAAGGTCCACCAGGAGGCTGATTCATGAGAGGGCTCTCATCGTGTTCAACACAGCCGCAACACCATCAAAATGTTACGACCCAAAAGCAACAGCAAACACCACACTGCCAGCGCAAACACACATTCAATAAGCAGCACACTTCACAGTAATATCAGTTTCATGTCAAAGCACCCCAAACACGCTGCAATGTAATAACACTTGCTCACCAGTCATAGTCCATCACCGCAATGATGATGGAAACACTTTCTATATTTTCATTGGGAATGTCAAACACCAGCGCCTCGTTGTATGTGGGGTTCAGTGTGTTCTTCTTAATGGAAGTCTTCCTCTTTTTTAGCCTTCGCCCGTCACAGATCAAAGAAGCCTTCACATACGGATCTGAACGAGAGAGAGGAGGGAGGAAGCCAAGAAAGATGAAAGTGACGGGGTAAAAGGAGAGATAGGAAGCAAGTAGTGAGGGGGGAAAACAAGTAATGAAGAGAAGGAAAGGAGATGAGAAACAGCGAGGGAGGAAAAAAACGACCGTGAGGAATAAAATAAATAAGTGGGGACTCCTCCAAATGCTGTTGGGTATTATGCTCACAGGTATCCTGCTTTAACACATAAAAGGCATGGAAATCAAGTCACCTTGGCAAAGCTGGATTAAAAACACAAAGGGAGAAACGCAGCACAGGTTGAATCACTTCCATTATCCATTCAACATGTGCAGCTCGGAGACAGCAGCCAGGGAAAACACACACGCCCACGACTTCATCTTTATACTGCATTTTATGTATCTTTAAGGCACTGCAATTACCCTGGGATCACTGTGCCAATTATTACGGCATGCGGTCATTATCATTTCAGATTGTATTTAATCTAAGAGGGCATATGCAATATTAAGGTCTTTAAGTGAAGAAAAACTAAAGAATTAAAGGATTTGCTCTTGTTAATTCAATATTAGCGATTATATTATCACTTCAGTTTCACAGGTGAAACTCTTCTTTATCCACATATAATTAGTACAACACCTGCAGCTAATTCTGCTTGCAACAAAATACATTTAAACAATGTTTTACTGTGTTATTGTGTTAGTGGATAATAAACTAAAGGCTTCAGCTAATGCATTGATAATGTATAGATCTCTCTTTAGAACATCTAACCTAAGATCACTTTAACTGCACAATTATTTACAGGGGTTAATTAATCAAAAAAGTACTTTTCTGCATCTTCTTGTACTTCAGTAAGTGGTAAATAAAAATGTATTTGGTTAAAACCTTTTTGCACGGATGTGTTGATTTGTATCTGCCGGGAGAGGAAACTGATATGTTTCAAATCAGTTAAAATGCAAACTGTATTGTGCAGCTGTATTGCATTCTGGTCAATTGAGGCTACTGATGGGGAAAACACAGCTTCTTCATTTGGTGTAAAACGGCATCAAAAGGAACTCTATTATTTAAAGAAACTAGATCCATGTTTACTTGTGATCTTAACATGAAAAAGTATCCCAACTGCATGTTAGTGTGTGTAAGTGTGTGTATATATTTGTAATCCTTTACCTGAGAAGCCAGTGAGGTCCATGGCTTTGAGGTTGGTGGCCTTGATGACTGTAGCAGTGAGCCTGCCTGCAGTGGGCAGGTAACACAGCGAGAAATTGAGCTCCCCGAGATCAGCCTTCTCCTGTAGGTCACCACACACGCATATAGAGATCAGAAACTGAGCTGGCACAAAGTGAAGCACACACACACACACACACACACACACACACACACACACACACACACACACACACACACACACACACACACACACACACACACACACACACACACACACACACACACACAACACACACACACACACACACACACACACACACACCACACACACACACACACACACACACACACACACACACACACACACACACACACACACACACACACACACACACACACACACACACACACACACACACACACACACACACACACACACACACACACACACACACACACACACACACACACACACACACACACACACACACGGCATCCGAGACAGAGTCAGATAGGAAGAACATCAACACACAGATATCCTTTGGTGTGCTATGATTGTCTGTTGCCAGAAAAGAGCTACATCTGTGACGGATGGCGCTGACGGCAGGAATCCTAATGCGGAGAGGCAGAGTGTTTAGGCAGAGGGGAAGTGCCGTCACTGAAAATGAATCATATGCCAATCTGTCTATGTCCCCGAGTGGAGGAAAGTGTTAAGTAAGTAGATATGGCGATTCCTCAGGCTTTTTATAAACCCCCCCTCGCTGCCTGTGGTCTCAGTGGCACCACAGTAATGATACCAATGGTATTCAGGTCACACTGTGGCATGATGACTCCTTAGTGGCTTTGTGCCTCACTAATCAATACTTCCCCGGGTGAAACACTGAAATGCGCTAAGAGGTTGATGCTTTAAACTTATTTAATAAATGAAACCTTCATGCCAACAAAATGTACGACTTCTAATTTGCTAATAGCTTTCTATGAATATTTCATATAAATCTACTTGGACGCAGCACTGTGTGATAAAAAGTTTGGATATGGCCAGCAGTGCCTTTCCAGTAATCCATCTGGACTCTCCTGAGCTGTGTCATTACATTACCAGACTCCGAATGAATATATACACTGCAGACAATTTCCAGTCCACACCATTCCTGTGCATTCTCTCTATAGAGTACATAAAGTCAGACAACAGACAATAATGCACACTAGAAACAATAAGATACTGGAAACTTTTTCACCTGTATATAACCTTGAATTGATGGGCACTGCAATGTTTCATTTCTCAAAATTGTTATCAGAATTTCCAGAAGGTCATTTCAAGTTCTGCCATTTAACATAAGAAATTCCACTCAAGGTTTCTCAATTGCTCGTCTGAATAAATGTTTCTTGTGACTGACAAAACAAAACCTCAGGACAGAGGCAACCTGATAATTCAAACTTGACTGTATTGAAGAAGACCAGCTGTATTTTAGAAGCTTGCATACAGCAATACGTGAATAAAGCAAATACTTTAAACTGTGTTTTCCATTTTAAAAAAACATTAAGAAGGATGGTTTTAAAATTAAAGTCTGACAATACTTAAAATGATGTGGTGCTTTCATTTTAACATGCAGTATTTAGTGGTTGCATTTCAAAGTTATTCATTGACTGCTGATGCAGAATTAAACTGTGACCTTTCTTCTTCCATAGAGTCACTATGGCTATGATATCATGAAGTGAACAAACAGTATGAGACATAGCAAAACAGACATCTTGTAAGCATGCCGTATAGTATATCTGTACATTCAATATAACACACTATATTCAGCTGTTAATATACTGTAAGGCACACTATAACAGCAGCACATCCACATATTCGTTTTGTAATGTACTCATATGTTCACAAATCTTATGTTCCCATTAACCATTTGGCTTTATACTAAAATACATTGGACAATTGCATTTCTTATTTATCAGTCAATTTCTCTTTCCTCTTTGGTATTCACATTTTATTTCCAACCATGAATCCATGTATTTGTCCTGAAACTAGAGGGTCACGTTTGATATGCTCCATTATCTCTCTAACACTGGACTCTCCTGAGCTGTGTTTTGTGCTGGCCCATCATTTTCAGTGGCTGGATATCGCTACAAGGCTAATTTGAATTAAAATCTTATCTTCCCAAAATGAAAGTTATTGTTTTGCATTTGATGCAGAGCTTTGTTCTTACCGCTGTGCCCTCCACAATGTCCCTCCAGACGGGTTTGTCCCCGCTGCCCTCGCTGAAGTCCAGCAGGTTGTCCACCACTACCTGGCCAATCAGGTCGTGTCTGGAGAAGCGGTCGAAGTCGTACACAGAGAAATGCAACTTCCTGGAATGTAGCTCACTCAGCGGAACGCCAAACTGAAAGGTCTCATTGAACACCGGGTTCAAGGTCTTTCTGTGGACCTGCGAGACAGACAAGGACAGAGAGAGAGAGAGAATTTAAACTCTGTACATCAAAACTACAAATAACAATCATTATTTAGAACCTATAGTGTACCAATGGGTAGGTAACATGGAATGAGTACAAGGAATGATAGGGCAACATGTTTTTTTAACCCTTAGATGCACGAGTGACTGGACCCTACACTCTTCCACAAGTGGATCGAAAAGGACCCGTATTAGAATATGTTTTATGCCATTTTGGTTAAGAAAAATCACTTATTTTGGTTCACACTAGAAATATTTTATATTGAATTTTTCACTATTTATAATTTTAGACATTTTTTTTACATTTTGAAAAAAAACGTTTTCCCATAGGATTCCATAGAAAATGCATGCGGGTCATTTTCGACCCACTTATGGAAGCTTGGGGTATTAATACAAAAACTACAATTTCTTAAAATCTAAATAAAAAATTGGAATGGCATGATATACAAAACATGTTTTTTGAGGAATAGCTGTAATATGAAATGATAAAAAAAAATGTAATTACAAAGATACTTCAAGAAAACCACCTCACCGGGTCAAAAAAGACCCACTTATGGAAGCTTGGGGTAGTAATACAAAAACTACAATTTCTTAAAATGTATAACATTTAAATTTAAAATGGCATGATATCCTGGAATATGAAATGATAAAAAAAAAAAATGTAATTACAAAGATACTTCAAGAAAACCACCTGACCGGGTCAAAAAAGACCCACTTATGGATCTAAGGGGTAACACTACAATTACAGCAGAAAGGCGGTTAACATGGGACTTGCATAAGGGTTGCTCTTACACAAAATGTCAATGCTTTTTTTAGTGCTACCAGGAATAGCCATTACCTCTGCTTGAATTAGTCATGTATAAAAAACGTAAAAAATGTATAATTATTCAATTTCAGTATTCTTGCACTAAATACTGTCCAATTAAAGGTCGGTGAGTCAAAGCGTATATAAAAATATCAACACCATTTCCTAGATTTCCTAATTTCCTTGTTACATCAGACCTCCTGTTTTCTTTGATTAAATGGACATACTTGTATAAGTACACAGTATCTTATTTCCTGGTTGGTAAAGTACACTTTCACATTGTGACTTGATGTCTAGCACTTAGCAGAGTTCGCCTTCTGGCTTTTATCTGTGACTCGAATTAGTATCAATGCAAAACTCTTATATTTAGAAAGATTATCTTATCTTAGGGGCTCAGAACTTATGGTAAATACATTTTCTCTGAAAGCAGTAATGGACAAAATCCTCATATTCGTTTAATAACATATTTGGCACTGCACTCCCATTGGTGTTTTATTGTACTGAATATTTTCCTTAGAAAACATAAAAGGCATCCATTTCTATGAATCGAAGGGGTTCTCTCACATAGGAGAGTTGTTGTGAATGTAAAAGCTTTGATTAACAGTCTGTAGGATGAATCATAGTGTGCTGAAAGCAGCAAAACAGACATTATGGCACGCAAATGTCATTTTAAATTAATCTGCCTTTCCACAGAAACAGGACATTTCAGGGCACAGAATATTCCAGAGGGGTTTGTTTTGCCATAATAAAATGACCTCCAGCAACACAATTAACCTCTACCACACTGCCTGACCTCGTGGCTCAGCTAGTGGGATGAAAGTTAATTTGTTCCTTTTTTGTGGGATGGAGAATCAAATCAAACTCATTCAATACTGAAATGATATAAAAGACCTAAAACCAAATGTAAAACTCATTCTGTTCCCCAACACGTACAACATAGCCAGATGTCTTCCTCTTGGATGTGTTCAAAGATTTTATATTGGCAACTGTATTCATTCCAAGTTCACCTCTATTTTGAAGTTTGAATGTGTTCCTTCTCTTTTCTATCCGTCACATCAATATCAAGTAAAAAGAAACAGATGGTTTAAACCGGAGGACTAAGTCGGATGGAAAGCGAGCTGCTGTCATTTCCTGCTCGTCATATTTAAAACACATTGCAGAAACATTCAAATTTGTCTTCAATCATTCAATCATCAACGGTTTTTCTTTACTATTTGCTGATTTAGTGGTGGGATGTATTTGCAAAGAAAGCCTTTGATGTAGATGCTGTCATGCAATAAAGCTGGTGATAATTTAAATGACACTCGATTTTCCAAATCTAACTTTTATCACTGCATGACTGAGTCTGTCACTCCGGCTTATTAGCACTTGATGATTACTTGTTAGCTTTGGAATAAACACGCAGCTGATGGAGAAGCAGTGCCTTTAGAAACCAGAAACACAAAGCTTTAACAGCTACAGAATAGAGGTCTGTTTCTCTTTTGAAATTAGCTGGAGGGATAAAAGCAGGGAAAATATGAGGGGTCTGAAAATTCCACTTGATTGAAATTAAACAATAATCTACACTCTAAACAAAAGCAGGGCGTTGTTATGCAAATTACAGAAGCATTCACTCTTTTCAACGACTGAATCGGCTTTTGTAACATACAGGAGACAGTCGCACAAAGGGGGAAACCAAAAGGGAGACATTTCAAACGGGTACAGCTTCATTGTGACTGAAAGCTTACTTTTCACTCTTTCCTGGATCTACTGTCAATTGTGAAGGTTTTTGAATTGTTATCTTCAGAACGTTTCCCTGTGTAACCCATACGCTGTACAAAAGCACTGGTATAATATTTATGGATATAAAATCGAGAACTAAAACTTTCCACATTTGTGAGGGTTCAAAGCTAGTGACTTTTGATCTTCTCTACAGAGAATAGAGAAGATGATATTTAAGGGCAACGGGTACATACCCTGGTACAGAACATCCCAAAATGTACTCGATATTGACTCTAGGGAGCCCAATACCAGAATAACACAGGGGTTGAGTAGCAGTGCCTTGTAATAGTCTGAGGCACATTATCTTGAATACATTTAGCTCCAGATTAGATTACATTAGTGAAGCTGTAATGCTTCCCCATGAGGAGGCTAGGTCATCAGAGCAGCAGGAAACAGGCGGAGAGAAAACAGCCAGTCAGACGTGACGATGTTTAAATGTTGAGGAGGTTTTCTCTTTGTTTGTTTACACTAAGCAAACGAGTGAGTGTGGTGGAAGTGGGATTCACCTTGGTCTGGTATTTCTTCTTCCTGTCTGGCAGTAGGTAGATCTTTACATATGGGTCAGAGAAGCCGTTGGCATCCTTTGCTGGCAGGTCCAGAGCTTTCAGGATCTTCACCACCAACTGCTCCGTACTGAGACAAACACAGAAAACTCCGTTAAACTTTCACATTCCCATAAAAAAAAAAAGGCAGGGGTCGCTCACATTTACACAAATAATCTATGAGAGCCAGACAGGATCAACCCACACACACAAACACTTTTATACACACATAACGGTGTGGGAGGTTTTCGTGTCTCTGAAGTTAGGAAAAAACAAAATAGCATGTAAGTGAGTTTGTGTGTCATTCCTGCAGCTGTATTATGTTGCAGCGATTAAAGTAAGCAAAGATGTACAACGAGTGACAGAGAGTCTGCTTGCCAAGGAGAAGCTCATTAAAAAACCTTAACACAGTTCCCTTTATTCTACCCTCACTACGGTCCATGCTAGTGCCTTCCACTATCAAAGTATTATTTGTCTGTATTACCATTTTTTTGCTTTATTGTTCTCTATCAGGTTGCATAATGGATGAAAACATAGTCAATGTTTCTTTCATTATGTTTTAACATAAGGTTTTTTTCTATTTTACTTATGTTCTTTGTCATTTTTGTCATCATATTTTTTGCATGGGTGTTCCTTTCTCACTTTTATTTATGTATAGCACACTGGATTTCCCCTGTGGACAAAATGTGCCATGGAAATAAACTTGCTAGACTTTAAATCAGTACTGCAGTAAGAAAATACTGCTACACATTTTTATACATGTTTCATATTTGTCAAATACATATTAAAATGTAACAAAAATAATCTGTAACATTAGGATACAAGTAGAAGTGGCTCTGTTTATTAAATGATATATATATAATATTTTAAATTGATTTCATGAACATACTGTCAAAATTATATTAATTATTTGTTTTTATCCTCAGTTAATCCAGCTGCAAACAATAGTCAACCCTTACAATTAGTTAGTTAAATAATACTGATATTAATGTATTAAAGAACAGGAACTGGTATTAGCAGATTGTTTTGCATTTCGCCTAATGTATGACTCAAACAATGAATCAATTATCAAGATGTGCTGCATTATTGTTTGCCAACTAAATAGTCAAATAATCAATTCATTTTGTCAGCTCTACAGTAATGATGTCGTCTTTGTAGAAAGACGTGATATTTTCTGAATGAGGGAGAAAATGACATGAAAGTTAACACATTTAGACAATCAGCAGAATTGCGCCAACAACTGCATAATTGGTTCTCTAATCAGATACTCTCATAGAACAACTCTCACACACGTTTCACTATTTCTTTGTCACAAACACAAATATGAATAAACGCACAGTCGTAAGCGCACACAATACACATGTGTTTACATTCGATTGCTCCATCCAGAGTCATTGCTGCGTCTCATGCACCGTTTATTATGTATTTAATTACCAGATGAAGATGAGCACAGCTCGGAGGCCTTTGATCAGACCTCGTTAGGCTGTGTCTCCCCTTGTTAACCAGTGTGTCAGCACTTCATTAGCTGCTTAAGGAGAGCAGCGTGAATTTTGAGGCTGAGGAATGATCCGCAGGCCAAACGCCAGCAGTGACCCCAGCAGTTATAACGTCTTATGTCCGTGTGTACCAATCACAAGTAAGACATGCTTGTTGACGATACAACCGTGGCCCATCTGGACACGTGTTTACCTCTGAATCACATCCAATTATGGCAATCGGATAAATAAGCCCACTGTGCTATCACATCAAATCAGGGAGATGATGTTAGTGGAGGAAATTACATTTACAGCTCAGCCAGATAAATATTTTAACGAGGAAAAACTTGTAATATTCCCCTCTAACAATGTTTATTCCAGTATTATTTTTGGATACGTGTTGGTGGCAGACACACCGTGATTAGCCAGTGCGGTTCACAGCGATGCTCAAATGAACAAGAATTGGAAACGACAGGAACACACCTCATCATTTTCCCTGCATTGGTTGTTTGCTACAGAAACGCGGTCACGAATTCAAATGTCTTTTTACAGAACGAGATGTGAGCTTGGAACCCAAATTAAGGTTTTTACACAAGCATGAAGCGTGCTGTAGAGAATATACCTATTACTGCTCGAGCACAGAGGTAAATTCACGACCTTATTCCTGGCAGACAATGCCTGAAGGCTAGCTGTTATTCCCACAGTGGAAATGTGTCAGCTTTTAATGGGATTGTCAATAGAAATGCCTTTCCCAGAGGATCTGAGAGAGATTGACATTGTTATTCTGACTATTACACTCCAAACAGCTGGGTCTCACACATTAACAGACCGTATCACAGTTCCAGTGTGTGTATACAGACATGCCCACACACTAAATCTCTAACCTTTCTTCTGCTTCCCTAACTATAACAATGTGCCTACTATGTAATGACAGGCAACTAAAGCCAGACATACATTATCTTGTGACTACATAAATGGGGAAAAAGGGACACATGAATATTTGTCATCATTAACCTCACTGTCCATCCAATTTCCTTGCTAATTCTCTATATCTGTAACTCAAGTTAAAACACAGTCTGGTGTTATTATTTGTTGACAGGGGCTGCTGTTTAAAGTGGCTTGCCATATATAATTCATGCCTGGAACAGCGTCTCGCTCCTTTTCTTTTCTGACCATCAGCATTTTCGCTTGTTGTAATGTTTCTACATGTCAGGGCAGGCAGACATGGGGGAACTGCCAGCTGGGCTGCAGACAGAGCGAGCGAGCGAGCGAGCGAGATACACACTCCTCCCAACAACCCACAGCCACCTAGGACTGCAGTACAGCCTCACATTCGTACACACTCTCCCATTGAGATCAATGATCTTAATGGGATTTATCTGTATAAATAAAGGTTTGAAATGAAAAATTACCCAATCCTCACAGCATGGAATCCACCAATTACATACTCGGACCCAAATTCTGCAGTATAGAAGGTTCAAGAAAGAATCCTCAAAGGAGCTAAATAAATAGAACCAAAGTGTCTGCCGCACAGCACATAAAGACACTGAGGCTGCTTTGTCACTTACATTTAATAGTACCATTTTAAAATGTGTTGTATATTATTATGATTATCGTAAACAAGGGTTTGGCATATTTAAAGCCAATGCAGTAGCATTTCATTGGTTTGGCTTCTTGATAGCTTATCTACCTGTAGGAGTCTTGCTTTTCTGCATGTGTTTGTTCATGGTTAAATGCACTTATTGTAAGTCACTTTGGATAAAAACGTCAACTAAATGAAATGTAATATAATGTGAAAACAAAGGAGACCACGGAATGAATCTAGAGGTGCTTACTTAAAAAAAAAAAAAAAAAAATTTGCTCAAATTTGAGTCGGAGGCTTTGTTTACGTGTCTACTGAAGAGAACAAACACAGCTAAATATATTTTCCAAAGAAGCACCCTCTCTCTGTTCTGTGCCATGAAGGAAAGTCGGCCAACCAGTGTCTATTTGCACCATTCTTAGTGTTTGAAGAACTGAACACCCACTGCTATGATCAAAGTGGTGCAAAAACAGACGCAGCTACATTGACAGGAGACGGGCGAGACGGGCAAAACCGGCGCTGTGGCACTCAGACAGTGCTGGATTCATCAAACAATATTCAGTTCGTATTTTTAAGGATTACATTTCCCAGACTGTGCCTGGCTATCACAAGCATACAAAGAATGCAGAATTCATGTTGTTATTTCTTTATTTATCTATTGAGTTAGCGCCATGCATAGGAATGTTGTTCAGTCATTTTACCTCTTTGGTCCAGACCTAAACTAAAGAAAAACATAACTGGTTTGCCATGGAATCTTTGAATAAAGTTGTACCTTGTTAGGTGATAAAAAGACATGGAAAATAATTGTGTTTTGCAATGCTTCGATAAAAGCAGGAGGTGTTCCTGTTTTCCAGACAGCAAGTCGATTGGGCTCCCCACGGACACTGGTGCAGCATCTTCAGGCTAACCTGGTTGTGATGTAACCTCGATGTTTAGGTTTGAATATAATTGTCCATGTTAAAAGCCTACATGTTTCACATAAGAGGACATTGAAAAATCATTTAGCCTGTTTTGATGTAAGCTTGGTGACTTACTTGAAGGCGTAACGCAGGAGGAAGCTGATTTTGCCGCAGTTGTCGCCCGGTTTGCCGTCCCCTAGGTCGCCCTTGGGCCTGTAGAGCTCCGGTTTGATCTGCCCAATGCTGGTTACCTGCTCCTTCTCCTCGCCATGGAAATCAGGGCTGGAGAGCTGGTGAGTCATGGGCTTAGGCCTAAACAGACACATAAGAGGATGAATATTAAGTGAAGAGCCCAGCGTGCACACACACACACACACACACACTAAAAACGATGCTTTCAAATAGTATGATTCAGTAACTGGATGGGAGATGCAGTGGCATTTGAACAAACTAAAGTGAGTATAACAACTATCCGCATAGGCACACGTTTTTTACATATTCGTAGAAGTGTTATAAAATCAAGTCTAGTTGTGTGATGATGGTTCTCCTGGAGTACAAACCAGAAAACATGTATCAGTTAGAAATGGGGAATGTCCTACCAGAGTCCTTTCTGTTTTTGTAGAAATGATACCTGTAACTGTGCTTAGTAAATAACTGTTAATATCACCATCAGTTTTTAGAAAAAGACGGATGTTGTTCAAGATGAAACTGTATGTTCGAAAAAAGCCTTCATTAGAAGGAAGCAATATAGTCTTTTTCAGTATGCTCACAAATCAGCTTTTAAGCAGGTACTGTTTTCCTTTTCTTGAATCATTTTTTTTAATTTTATTGATTTTAGGAGTTTCCTTTGAGCAACAACTACGGTTACAAATGAACAATATGCACACACTCTTTTAAGCTGCAATATGTGAGGGATAGACAGAGTTTTTAGTTTACAATAGGCTTATATTAACAGAATGTGAAGAACCAACAGTTTTGACACAATTGCAAGACTGTGTAAGGTGTTGCAGAGATAGTATGCTTATCAGCTAGCCCTGGACGTCCTGTCTTAGAATACCACTTGTACCTAAGGAGGTAATAGTGAGTCACGGTAAAGTCTAGTCTGTCCTCAGTCCAAAAAGAGAGAAAATAACGATTAGAGCTGCTGAGTCAATCAGGTTGAAGGTAAAACCCCGGTTAAATTACGCAAAGACGGCTCGTACTCTTGGCAAATGACCTTTATCACAATCCTAACGACCTGCTCTTGGCAAGAAACCAAATTATGGTCAAGATAATAAGTGATATCAAAAGAAGCGACACAAGGGTAAACATTAGCATGGCTCTCCACCGTTGGGCAGCTCCTGGCAAGTGAAGAGATGAGGTGTGTTTCATTTAGACTGGTAAGTAACATCAAATGTTGGCTCATAGATAAATATATCTTTTGTGCAACTAATGACAAACCAAACCGTACCAGAATAACCATTACTAAAGACATGTTTGTTTTTGATGTGGCTGTTTTGTATGGTCTCTCTATGGCTACAACTGACCTGGGCAAACTATGCTATACATTATATGCCTGACAAACGTTGAGATTGTACAATGACACATTGCACCTTTTAACCCAAACACTCGGTACTGACCGGGAGGTGACCTGCTGCTGGGAATGGGCGTTCGGCAGGTCTTTATGGGGCTGGGCTCCAACCTCTGAGTTAGGGACGTCTGGAGACGTCTGACTCAGCTTCAGAGTTCCTGCAGAGTGAGAAATGGACAAACATGACTCGATGACTCACTTGTCTCTTTTATTAGTGCCTTAGTCATTACAGTGGCTTAGAGCAATGTCTTTTTTTCTAATGCAGGGTCGGCATCATCGATAGCATTGATTGTCTTACATTGATTTAACTGAGAGTTTTTTTAACAGCAGACAGAAGAGAAATAATTAACAGACGTTAACAACAGCAGAACATAATCCAGCATTAAAAAAGGCATAATACACAGATATGAAAGAAGGCACATCTAAGTACCATTTTGGCATCCAGAAAGCATTTGATGATTAATGATACTGATGAATCAGTCGGTGAAAATTGACCCGCCATTATACCGTTTTTGGGAAGGATCTCCTAAAGCTACGTTAATCAGTATCTTTATGTGTAATCGTGTTAAGGCTGCAACTAATGCTTATTTGAATTTCAAACATTTTTCTACAAAACATCAGGAGAAAGTGCGCAACACCAGTCAATGCAGATTAAATAATGAATTTGATTATAAAAAATGTAATCAAATAATTATCTGTCAATCAAGTAATTGATTAACCGACTACTTGTTGCAGCTCAACAGAAGAACACATCAACATTCTATGTGTGATGTGAAAGGGTTGCCGGTAGTAAAGGAAAAACACATCATTATTAGCCAAGTCGTAAGCTCCAGCGAGTTTCACTGCACACATGAGTTTTGAGTTCAGCGGTGTCAGGCAGCGGTTTCTTGCAACGAGCTCTGATAAAACTAGCTAGGAAAGAAAGTTGAACATACAGCAGCTAAAGAGGGATTCTTTCTCAGCGGTTGAATAGAACAAAACAGAGTTAAAGGAAAGTGAATAAATGAGTTGACCAGCATCATGAATCAAATGGCATGTTAGCAATGGGAACCTTAAAGCTGATTAGATCGCTCTGCACATTTCTTTGTTTAATAAACAAAAAAACCTTTAATGAAAATGTGTTTCATATAAGTGAAACTTCTCACAGTCACAGTCTACCTCTTTCTTAATGAGTTTCTTTTATAACCAAGTGTTTGTAATAACAGACTAGGCAAGTAACATGAAAAAGTATTATTCCTTAACTGTAGCACTACTATGAGAACAGCCATTTATTTACACAAAAATGGCCATTCATCACCCAGTTAAATGAGTTTGACTGTATGCAGGTAAATGTATTAAATTCAGTAACCTGAGAGTATATTCAAATAAAAAGTTATTGAGCGTGGAATTACATTACTCATTCTGACTGGGATTAAGAGTCTCTCCCTCTCACCTGCATTGTTGGGGTAGGAATCCATGTCCAGATAGGACGGCTCCTGGGTCTCCTGTGGCCCCCCCACCACACCACCGACCTCCCCCCTCTCCACTCCCACCAGGTCAGAGAAATGGGGGTGGTGCTGACCCTGCTGGCCCAGGGAGGGGTAGAGTGAGGAGGAGGAGTGACCCTCCTTCCTCTGCAGCAGGGGGGGTAAGAGTGAGGAGCCCCCGGGGCCTCCAAGGCTCCCGACACCTGCACTTCCGGGCAGCAGCCCCGACGTCAGGCTCAGGCCTCCGCCCTCCTTGTCCCTCCATGGCAGCCAGCAGAGCTTCCAGGAGACGAAGAGCGAGACAGAGAGGAGGACGATGCCACAGAATGTCACGATGACCGACAGCAGGCTGACAGAGATCTCTACAGAGGACCAGAGGAAGATATAAGGGGACATTAGAGGAACAAAGGGAGATACAGAAGGAAGCCATAACTTCATTATTAAAGTGTATATTTACACAAAAAGAAAATTTCAAAAAAGTGTGGGGGAAATGCAGTCGACTGTAGACTGCAGGCTACTTAGCAGTGCTGTAAGTCATAGCATTGCTGATCCAGTGTTTGTCTTTTTACGAATAAACAAATCATTATACAGCATCTGCAATCGGTTCAGCCCCCTGACTCCAGCCAAACTTAAAATGAACTAAAAGTAAGATTGTACTGCGGAACAGATGTTCTAATCAATGTTAGCTACCTTTGCCAGTCAGCCCAGCTGATTGGACAGGAATTGGCTGTGGAGAAGGAATGTTCACGAAGGAACTGAATCAAAGAGTCAACTCTTATTACATGCATATTTATAAATAGTATTTTTTTGGTTTTAACAGAACCAATAATCGAACTAATCTACACTGGTAAAGGTGGCGTAGGGGATGGGTATCGTTAAGGTTTTAACGGTACTACTACTTTTATCGATACCGCTTATCGGTCCGGTCTTTTAACGGTACTTTTATCGGTTCTTTTGGAGAGAAACAAATAAGGTAAACTAACTAAACAAATTGTGAACAAAACTAACATTGCTTTTTATTTAAATTAAATACATAATATTATTTCACATCAAAAGAAACAACGTTTTAACACATCGTATTAATTAAATAATCTGATGACAGAACTGTAAACAGAATAGCTGAAACTTTAACAAAATAAATAACTCAGTTACCTCTAATCATTAACCCATGTTTGTATAATGTATTTAACTCCGTGTGTTGCTGCTAGCATACATAACACCTGACGTGGAAACGTTACTCCTGGATGGGGCTACAGAGCTATAAAAGACAGTCGAACCCGGTGCATTTCTCCGTCTGAATGTGGTGCGCTTTTGCAAGATGTTTAGACAAATTGCTCGTGTTACCGCCCTTACAGTACATGCTAAACTCTTAGTGCACTTTAGGCAACGAGTATCGAGACGGGTAAAGTTTAACCACACCTCGGAGCGCGTTCTCTCCGCCATGTGTGTGTGTGCGTGCGTGTGTGTGTGTGTGTGTGTGTGTGTGGCTGCATGTAGCAGCCGCGTGTGTGTAAACTGCCCCGCCCCCTCGCAAGCAGGCGGGGGAGAGAGATCGAAAATACTAAAAATAATCATAGAAGCATTTTGCAGTCTTTTTGCATTAGAAACGGAGTTGGCGACACTAAAACTACAATATAATGTTTGTGTAGCAATAATACACATGACATATATGTTTTACATGTCTCCAGTACCGATAAAAATACCGTTAACGTCGGAGCTTAATGGTACCACGGTCTTTAATAATTCAGCCCCGGGGCCCGTTTAATACCGGGGCTCGGTACCCATCCCTACGGGTGGTGTTCAAATACAGGAAATGTTTTTTTGAGTTATAATCTTTTTTTCCAAGTATGTGTCCCAATTTTAAAAAGATAATTGGGAGCCAGTGGTGCTAAATGCAAGGGGGTCACTAAAGTTACATCCTGAGAGGGGCATGAATGTCAACCCTTTTAATAATTGTTGAGGCATTTAAACCACAAATGTGAACCTAATGGTCCTGCTGAGGAAAAATCAGGGGATCAATTAAGTCCGTAGGATTCATGGAATAGGTTTAATAAATGTCTGTAAAAACTTTCATCACAATCAATCCAACAGTTATAGAAATGTTTCACTCTGGACCAAATTGGTGGACTTGCCAATCATACATTGCCATCCATAGATACACAGTAAGCCACTGCATGATCAACAACCCATACGCCGCCTTCACACATCATCCGCATCATGACAAGGTGTCAAAAATCACAAATCACGAAGCCAGAGAAGGAACCCGCCGCTGTAGGCGTACATTGATGCAAACATCCCCTGAAGCTCATAACCAACGTTTGAATCCAGAGCCTAAAATGGGGGCAAACGTTGGCGGAGTGGATATTCTTAGGGGAGGAGAGGAGAATAGACGGATGTGGGAGAACGGAGGCAAACAATTACAAAGTAGCAACACCAACAATGATATCTCTCTGCGATGTCATCATGCATTTCCACATGGTGATGAGCTCTTTAATCTGTGACGGCTCAAGGACTGTGTTGGAGGGGTAAATAGGATCGGGGTTGGGGGTGTGGGGGGAGGATAAATATGGGGCAGTAGAAGATGTGTGTGTTGTGAAGGGTGGAGTATGACTCATCCGAATGAAAAAGTGTACGGAATAAAAAGAAAAACCGCAGTTTCAGCACCAGACAGCCGGACAGTTCCAGCCTCTGTTAAAGAGAGCAGAAATGAAAGTCCACATCAGCCCCAGAGCTCGGGGACTTAGTTCTGCTCATGGTTTTGAAGTTCACAACTGTACATGTCGGAGCCTATGATACGTGCATTCATAAACTCATACATTTGTAAATACCCTATAAATATGGTTTCAATATTTATAAATACATAGACTAAATATACAATGAATATTTATGCTGAGCCATTTGAAGTCTTTTTATAAATAGCATGATTTGGGTCTGATGACCGTCTTGATAAAAAGGACCAATCAGAGCCCACAATGAACTGTACTGTAGGCCCAGAGCCCTTAACATGAATATGTATAGGTTGTAGTCGACCGAGAGACTCATTACGAAACAGTGTGCAGATTTCGCTAACAGTAAGCTTCCCCACCTTGCAGTTTACCTAGAATATTTTCCTCTGGCCATCTTGGGCTCCGTCAAGATCAGGGCCGCCACTAACAATCCTTCCTGTCTGCCGGGAGATGAATCATAGCCTCATGCTGAACAATATTGTCTTACCGCCAGAGGAACATCTTTCCTGAACCACCGACCAGATTCTTTTCTTTAACCTTTACTTCAATGTAATTCAATTCAGAATGTCTTAAATGGCACAATAAAGACAATAAGTGTTACATCATAAAAAAGAAAATGACATCTGTAACAGGCTGACAAGACTGAGTGGAAACAAGACAGCAGCAGCCCATCCTCCAGCCCTGGGGGTACATCTTCTGGAATTTGGTTCGCCTTCTGTCTCCACCAACCGTGCCTCTCTTTCTCTTTCACTCTCGCCTCTTTATAATCCCCTCAGAAAACCCTTATTCCTCGCCGTCCTTTCTTTTCCCATGGCGTCTGCACGCCTCGACTTCATTCCTCTACTCAGCGGCTGTCTCTTTGATCGTCATTCCTATACCTCCTCTTTGCCTCTCCTTCCTCGCTCAGTCTTTGGTGAATTATTCATCAATCTGTGTATGTCATTAATCAGCACTTGTTCAAAAGATATGATTGGGGGGCTGCGAAGGGCGAGGGGACATCGATCTGTCGCGGTGGTGAACAAGACGGGTTGGGAAGTGAGGAGCAAGGGATTGAGAGAAGGGGTAAAAAGGGGACAAATAAAAGCCGGGCAAGAGAGAATGTGAGGATGGATATAAGGAGACGGGTAAAGGGAGGATGCGGAGGAGAGGAAAAGAGGGCAAAGGAAGGTAGGAGGAGGTAGCAACATATCAAAAGGATAGTAATGATTAAGGGGAATGGGGTGAAAAATGATGGAAACCACAGAATGGTCGACAGGGCAAGTAGAGGCTGGGAGAGAGGGTTAAAACAGATTGTTGCACATGTTGAAACGAACATATAAGCTGACTGGGTTTATTCCCTCATTTTTGTTTCCGAGGAGGAGGAGGAGGAGGAGGAGGAGGAGGAGGAGGAGGGTGAAGGGAAGGGAGGAGGGCTGATAAAGTCGATGCAACTACCACATGAAAAGGGATGAAACCAAAGAGGCAATGGAAGAGAGAAGAGAGAGAGTCCAGGAAAAGAGCGATAGAGGAAAACAACCTGACAAAGATTTAGAGCAAAACCTAAAAAGGGGAGGGGTTTGAGGATAAGAAAGGTTAATGTATTGATCTGGAGGGGGGAAAACAAAGAGAGGAGGCAGAGGAGTAGGTTGTGTGTGGTTGGCAGATCAGGGTGCGTTGATAAGACACGGCTGTGATCAAACGTGCGAGGGGACGCCAAACGGCGCTCATCCATTTATCTCTCTTTAGGGCAGTCGCTGTACCTTCACAAGCCTTGATCTTGCCAAAGATCCATCGCTTATCCACAAAGCATAAAAAGAGAGTGAGCGGGCGGGTAGGTGGGTGGTTAAGAGGCCTCTGAAGTGCACTGTGAAGAGGGACTGAGATTCCCTGTCAATCAGTGACTGATGCAAGCCCACTGGGAGTCGTACATTGCTCCACATCAAACACATTTCTGCTGCTTACACAAGCCATTCGCTGACAGCTTTCGGCGCCGCAGTCCTCGGAGGGTTCGGAGACTTCCGTCAGCAAACACCGAAAAATCACAGCTGGTAGGGGAGGGGGCCAACGCCTTAAACCATGCTGTGACATTTCTTCACAGAGCCATCCAAATCTCCAGAGGCAACATGCAGCCAATCCAGGCTAATCTACACTGAGCCACAGATATCCATGCTAATCTGCATAACAGCATATTGCACTTCCAAATGCTTCAATTAGAACCCTCACACAATACTCTACACACAGTTCGGTCAAATTGAAACAAAAAAGAAGAAGAGATAAATATATATGTATTGTAATCCAGTTTTAAGATAACAATCACAGAATTCTACCGAGACTCTTTTGGGGCTCTTAAAAGAAATGCGATGGATTTGTACTGAAGCCATTTCAATCTAGCAGATAAGTAATTCATGGAGGTTGTTTTGAGTGTGCACTACCTCGAACAATCCCTAAACATGAACACTTGTCTTAAAATGTGCCTTATCATACCTTAAAGTTTAACATATGTCATGCTGTACTTCAACTATTCAGACAATACTATAATGTTTCTGCTTAAGACTGTCAAAGAGGATATTTACATACACTATGTAAATCATACCATTTTTATGACAGACAATACCATTATTTAAAGTATCAAGAAGTTTATGTTTTATCAAGATGTAAAAGCAACTTTCAGACCACAATAATACTAATAATCTTCAATCGAGCTCATATTAGTTTTGAGTTGGTGATAAGTTCCTCAAAGCAATCCACAAAATATTTTCAGTATCAAAGACTCGGCCCCTGTAGGTTTGGAAGTTCTTTTCGATTAGTGTTTCCTCCTTCACATCTACAGCAGCTGTGGTCTGTTTTGATGAGGGCTGGGCATTTCAAGCAATATTTAAATACTATTCAATAATCACTACACACCTGTGCTGATACCGACCTGTGGTATTAACGTAAGTCACAAACTTTTTGTATAATTACATTTTGTAATTCAAAAACTATTCAAAAGTCATGACCCCTCCCTAATCTAAGATAAATGTACTTATTTTTGAATGGTGGAAAACATTGAGGATCTGGGCAGATGGGCAGAATGTTTTCCACTGAAAAATCTTGAATCAACATGAATCAAGCTGCCTATAGCCTCTCTGTTCTGTTAGAAGAAGGAAACTACCAACTTGTACAAGCCAACCTTCAAATGTACAGGGGTGAGCCTTTCAAACAGCAAGAGTACCTTTTGGGCAAAGAACATCTCACTGTGTGGCATGGTTCTAGGTATGGCAATGTTGGTCTCTCTATTAAATGGATTTCCATGAATTTCTTAAAGACAATATTGCCTTCATCAGGACAAACTGTAGTCACTTTGGTCGTTCCCCTGACTTTCCATCTAGCAACATCAACAGGTCAACATCTAAATGTTTGCAATGATATGGCTTATTATTAAATATATGCAGAGCTCATGACAACCCCATCAGCCCCAGCTGTAGTTTGAATTAACTGCTAGTAAGGAAATGTTAGCATTGAAGCATTGTCATTGTTAGCATGACGTTAGCATCTAGCTCAAAGCTTTGCCTCAGAGTAAATCCTCTAAGATCTGGCAGGGGAGAAACGTATTATTGTTACAAACTGTTGAATCCTCTGAGAGCAAACTTTGTAAAACAAATGTAGGAGAGTCTCCAGGTGTGTGAGTTGAGTTACCTGTGTCCTGTCTATTGCTACCTCTCAGCAGGTAGCTGAACTCCTGGCAGCGTTCACTTTGGCTGTAGCCTCTTGGGGAGTTGAAGCACAGTTCTTCCACCAACACCAGCGCCTTCTTACACAGGTCTTCATCCCAGTCCCCCGACATCCTCCAATCCGCATTGCACTCTCACCAGCAGTCAGCCAATGACAGCGCAGCCCTCGCCGCCCTCACCTATCGGACGGCGCTATGATAAATTGAATGTTGGCCTGTCCACCTTCTGCAATATATGTCAACTGAGTGAGAGGAGGCAGAGGAAGCTGCCGGCAATAAAGAAAGGAACAAAGGGTTCTGCCAGTGGCCTTGGTCTGGGTCACAGAGTGCCCATGTATGACTCAGCGTCACCCACCCCTCTCTCTTTCCCTGGAAGAGAAAAAAGGGAGAAAATTGGCAATGTGAGTGTAAGTACTAGTGTACAAATCAAGCTTTTAGCAGATTAGTCACCTTTCCTATTAATCAAGAACTCTGATGCGAGAACCATCAGTGTGTGTCTGATGGATCATTGGTTCTGGTCCTACAAAATATTACACTATACACTATGAAGAGTGAAAATAGATAACTGGCATCATGAAAGAAGTGTTTTCTCAGGTGCCGCTAAATTCTAAAGGCTAGCAAATGTGTTGATATCGTTAAAATCACATTAGGGTCAGGTTCCGTATTTGACCAAAAACACATTTAATTAAGCCTTTACCATTTACCAAGCCAAAATGCCGCTACCATCAACCACATGTCTCATTGTTGGTAAAAAAAATACAAGTAAAAAACAGTAAACAAGGCAGTCTGAGGGTATCCTCACCAGAGTGCCATTTATGCAAGGGCACATTGCTTTTGAATTGTTTCGAGGGAAACACATTTTTTTATTTCTATTCTCCACTGGAAAGGGATGGCAGCAAACGACTCCCGGGCAAATACAAATCACCATATGGTCTATGTATGGCCAGAAGTACCAGTTAGTTAATGAGCCTTAACCTACCCTTGAGGTGTGAACAAAGTATTTTGAAATGAATAAAAAAGACTCTGAAAGCTATGTGGAATTGCAGTTGTTGCCGATGTTGGTGTTGGTTCTTAGTGGGTTCGGCACGGCAAGCAACCTTTTTTCATTACATCTAATTTAATTCCATGTTAATATCAGAAGTTTCACCTAATGTATGTTAAAATATACTATCAATAAATTAGCCCATGGAGTTTTGAATTAAAAGGTAGTACTTTTCACATTTACCTCGAGCTGGAAACTTCCAATAGCTCAAATGTTGTATTTTATTCTCAAAATGTATTAATAACTTTAAATAAAGCCAGATGCTTTCATACTTTCTCAACATGATTCATATTTCATTAAGAGTCTTAATGATCTCCTGGGGATTCTGTGATGATGTTTGTGTCCAAAACTGACCAATGGTCTTCATTGTGACCAGAGTATTTTATATAATGATTAGTTATTTTGTGGAGTCCATAAAACAGAAATATGATGAAGGAAATGCCAACACTGTGAGAGAGAAGATAACTAGTTTCCCTTTTATCATTCAACATACTCAATTGATTGCCTTCCTCAGGCTTAGCTTTACAAATAACTAAGTCAAATCTATTGTACTAAAGAAACAATTCAAGTGAAAGCATTTTATCAACTTAAATAATGTCAGAAAACCATGGTTGTTTACCTTTATTGAATTTGACTGTTGAAGTTCTGGGCCATGTTGAATTTGCAGGACAGAGACACTCTACATCTAAAATTGTCTTTGCAAGCAAATTTGGCAGAGGAATAAGGAATTATGCCTGCAGTGCATGCATAACCTTTATCTTGTTATTTTCCTAACGGTTCCAAGACCAGAAAGGGGGCCCTGCGGACAAGTGGCTCTTTTTTCTTAACTTCCAATTAGGAACAGAGTGTAGTTCTCAGTCATCTGGATCCAACTGGGTCAGTGCAACACATCAGTTGTAGTGGTCCTGCCAGCACTTCAGCATTGATCTGCACCCACTGTCGGATTTGCGGAGACTCTTTTGAAGCTCTCCAACATAACCTGAAAAACAATGAAAATCAATCTGTCAAATAAGTGAAGAGACACAACAAGAATAAGAACAAAAAACACTAACATTTGGAGGATTTTTTAAATCTCCTTAAATATAAGATGGAGGTAAAAATCTGATTCATTAAGTTTGACTGCCCTGTAGTTGTGCTCCTTGTCTTTTCATCTAAGAAAAACAAGAGTGTTGTAGCATATTGTCTATTGTCTAAAAGCAGGTCAATGCCTAAACTCCAGTTTCTCACAGTTTGTGAGTCTCAAGGGACTCTGACTGTGGAGAACGAATGCAAAGTTGTGTCTAATAATACATAGCCATTGCAGGAACCCTGATATTGAAAATGTCCTGCAAATAATGTTGGACAAGCTGGAGTTTGGGTGGAAAATAAATCACTGGCAAAACAATGTTCATGGTGTGCTCACTTTTTCACCAATCTGTTTTGTCCTTGTAAAGCAGTTGCCCTATTTCTTAAGCAAGGTGCCTAGTCGGACAGGGCAAGGACTATTGATCAGTTGATGTATGTTGTTCTGTGAAATGTCAGTGTCAGTCTTTGTACATTGAGTGGCACCTCCCTAGCAAAGCGCTCCTTATATGTCCATCTGTCCCAGACCCATCAATCAATCACTGCATTAGGCAAAGACATACTTCACTCTGAACAAGTCCCTATCCAAATAATGCTTCCAATCTCTTTCGAGTTTTTCTCACTCCTCTTGAAAACAGAAACACACTTTTCTTTTCTTGTTCGCCCTCTGTTCCTGTCTCTTTTGAGAAGCGGATTGTCACATTAGGGTAAACTGTCAGTTGAGAAGAGACTCAGATAATGCACTCTATTTATCTGTCCACCACAGCTCAGCCTATAGCAGTTGGAGAAGAAATTAGCAAATCAAAACGTAATCCAGACCTTACATCCTACATCAGCCCTCCTCGTGCCCCCCCCCCAACCATTTTACCCATTAAAATAGTAAATCTGTCTGAGTGATTTTAAAACCTAGGATATCTCAATCTGAAGAATGGCTGTCTAGCACAAAACTGGCCGCTTCCAATGCCAATGACAGATTCAGGGGGAGGGAGAGGCAAAGATTTAATAGAGGAGACAGACAGAAATAATGATTGTGTAGCAAGACAGAGGAAGACGGAGAACGAGGGATATACGTCATTAAATTGGAGGCGAGACAGATGAAGAGGGTCGGAAAATAACTGGGGCAGAGAAAGTCCGAAAAAAAAACAGGAAGCTGGCGGCAAGGGGTGACACAGCAACAATGGTAATCAACGGTTAAGGGGGTGCAATTTACAACAAGCTAAATATTTACAAAGGCTCACAGACAAACATCAATTCAGAAACATGTTGATCAACAATTCGGCTCAGATAGCACCATGCCCAGAGATGCACATCATTTCTTATTTAGTGTACAGACCAATACTAAACCTCCCACAGAATCTACATTGACTGCTGTTGTGATGGGGATCAATACTATCAAGGAACAAATACACCACAACGAAGACCAGATGACCAGTGAGGTCACCGTCCAAATGGGAAGAGGAGGCAGGATGGCATGAAGGTCACAGTCTAATCACACTACGGAGAAAGCAGAATGGGAACTGGGGGAGGTAATTGCCCAATCATGGGAGAGGGTTGCCAGTCAGATCAAGAGCTAAATCTTGGAAAAAGGGAAAACTAGAACAGAAAGAAAGACCAGTCAGCCATATAGCCTCAATAAATATAGACGAAAATGTATATATGAGTCAGTAAGAAGCTGCAAGTTCAAACCTATAGCATGTGTCCTTCAGTAAGACTCTGAGCCCCTTGATGGCCCATCCTGTTAATCACTAAGGATAAGAGCATCAGCTAAATGTCTTCTTTTTTTTAATGGCTAAGTCCAGCCGTTACATCCTCGATAGCTTAAAGGCAACGAAGCAGATGAGGCATTTATATTTGTATCCCCTTATAATGAAGGGATCATGCATGTATTTGCACTGGCAGGAGTGAAGTCGCCATCAGGTGACTAGAGAGATGAGTAAAAAGAAGTGAGGATTATCATCCAAGATGTAAATAAAAAAAGCACACATTCATTATTTCTGGGACATACACCAATACATATTTATTTAATATCGAATGCACTCACTCATCTTTTATATATATTGGATTTCTATTTGTTGGCTCCGTGCTAGTCAAACAAGAATTTCAGGGGTTTTCTCCTTTGCTCAGAAATTCCACCGAAAAAGCTACAAACAAACACAAATCTTCAAGCAGGGCAAATGTGAATATGATAAAACCCATGGGGCGGGTTTTGAGTAACAAGGATCATGTTAGAGAGTGCGACTGAAATCTGAAATCTGCGTGTGCAATCTGTCTCTGAGGGATGAATCACACACCTAAGCAGGGTTTGGGAATTACAGTGATAAGGCATTTGAAACACTGCTGTCTGCTGAGTAAGAAGTAGCAGACATTTGGAAGCTTACCACAAACCTGTGATCTATTGCAACCCCATATCCTCGTTTGAAATTCATTTCCTAGTGAAATTATATGTTAGTCTTTGAATTGAATACAATACATTAAATATGAGTCTGCTACCATTTTAGCTTCTCCAGTTCAGAGGCAACTAACCAATATTATTTGTTGTGGCAGCGGTAGTATTACCTTGAGGTCGTTCTGAATATAATTATAGAGTTCAGATAGCAATCAGGCAGTTTAAAGATACTACCCTTATTCACTTAATAAAAGTTTATTTTCAGTCTCACCTTTTCTCTCTAACTGAAATTACCATTTAATGCTGACATTTACAAATGTTATGGGAAACACTGAATACCTTCCTAATTGGAAAATGTAATTGGGAACAGTCACAGTCTTTTTTGTTTGAGAACATAATGCTTCTGTAGACAATGGAGACTAATCCATTGGATATACTGTATAATAGGATATTACTTTGGATCTCAGTGAACCTGCTTTCAAGTCCTTCAATCTGCTGCTGCGCTCTTTCTTTTGTTTTCTACCGTATACCTGGAAGTCATGTTTTATTGGAATGCTCATTCTTGCAGATGTTTCTGTTTATGTTAAAGTCTGTAACATTGCTTAAGTGTTTAAGCTAATTTCACACTTCCAATGTCTGTGCTTGGCAGCATCTTTTGCATTATATATTTCCTTTAATAATTTTTCATTTACATTCTGTTTTACTTTACAGACATGGCCTGTGACCCTCACCGTTCCAGACTTTGATGCTGTCTGCTCTGCTGCAGCCTGCTGGGCCGTATCATGTTGTGTACCATCTCAAATCGATGTACTCATGTACCCTTAGATCATCCGCCATTCGTCGGGACTATCACTGATTCATAGAGGTCATGACCTCTCTCCACCGACACTGGCATATCCTCTTTTTTGTTTTGCATCACTTCCTTTCGAGGCCAAAGCGATGACTGCTCGAGACAATGCTTTCAACGCTCCTCTCTGCTCATTCGGCCGTGACAGATTGATGCACAGGGGTAAACGGATAGGGATACAACAACACATCTTTTTGGTTACTCCAGTGGAGCGCTACTTGCGCGGGACAGAGACAGCGGCGTATAAGGCCAAGATTGAGCGTGGGGATATTAATGTCTATTGACTAGAGGTAATAGCTTTGCCAAGTCTCTGCCTCGAGGTTGTTCCGATAATAGCTCCCACCCTTTCAGTAGTTCCTGAACACCATTTCAGCAAACAAATAATATGAGGTGGGGGAAAGTGTCATGAATGTGTGCTTAAGACCATACATCTCTATAAACATGCAATGAAACACGCATTCACAACCAAGCATACACATTTTCCTTTTTATCTCTACCTATTTCCATACCATATTTACACATATCAAAGGGGTTGCTGTTCAGGCTCTCCAAGCTTTTCCACAACTTGGGACTGCAAGTGTTTTTATAGTCTATAACATGAGAGAGGAAATAGAGAGCAAGTGGCCGGCCAGGAGCCTTCGGAAACTGGTGCTACCTTTCCTGTCTCTTGCTCAGCCAGTGTAGCTGCAGAGCAGGACCTATTTACAGACAGGGAGTGTAATCACATACACACTCATACACACTCACACCCACACACTGACACACACAGAACAGAAGGCTGCCCTTACTTAATTATTTATCCTAATGCTATGTCAGAGTCTGTATCTCCCAGTTTGAGGTTTCTTTTAATTATTTTTGCATAAAGATGGTTCTCTGTGGTGTGAAGCCAGAGCAACTGTGTATTTGATGGCTTGGGGAATGGGGTGTGGATGGGGTGGAGGGGGAATTACGCACGTCTTACGCACGTCAACCTGTCTTCTGTGTGTTTTCTGCGTGCTCGTGCGCGCATCCCACTGTCTGTTCATCTTATATGTTAAAGCGTTTGCGCGGAAGAAAGTTAAATCATCAGCAGCAGTGAGGATAGCTGCCATTGATACAGTTTTGATATGAGCCTGTTATCTGAAGGCTATTCCTATATAGCCTGTATGGACTGCCTCCACACAACATGCATCCCACTAACTCGAAACACACACATAGCCTACCAATGGAAGAATGCAATATGAAAGAGCCTGGGTGATGCACAAATAATATACATTAAATATGTATGGGAAACAGACACATGCTGCTAGATTTAGGGCATATTCAGCAGAGCCCAGTGCGGGATGCAGGATCAAAGGAGATGTGATGCAAATTACGCACACATCGCAATATCTCAGACCCGAATGCAAGCTGGTAACAGAATCAACAAAGGGAACATGTCCTACCTTGGCGTTGCAGAAACCACTGTATCCCTCTGTCCAATTTACTAGCTTCTCCGCTGTTTCAGTCAGATGCGACGCTTGTAAAGGGGCATTCCGCCCTCTTTTGCTCTGTCCACCCCCTCCTCTCGCTCACTCCCTCTCTTCTCTCGAAGACGCACCGAGCAATAAGCCCCGCAACCGGGATGGCAGACTGAGAGAAGGAAATTAACAGTATGTTATATCTTCCCTCCCCGCGCTTACCTTCCGTTTTCTGTGTTCTACCCTTATATTTTACCCCCTCCTTGTGTTTTCTCCTCCTCTCTGTTTCACTATCCCCTCCCTCTCAATCTCTCACTCGGTTCCTCGCTCCCTCGCCTTTTTTCCCTCCCTGTGCTCTGAATACTAATACTCTGTCTCTCTTCTCACTGCCTGTACAGCCCGGCCAGTGCTAAAGATATACTGATGTATGTGGGGCGTGTAGAGAGAAAGCCAGAAAGGCAGAGATGGTGTTAGTGGAGGTGGGGGGGGGGGGGGGGGGGAGTCCTGGGATGGTGTGGAGGGTAATGGCTACTGGGTAAAAAAAGAAAGCCTAGGAACTTGTTTGGTCTTATTATAGCTGTGATTAGATAATACCCCTGCAGATGCCCCTGGAGAGGTGGTGGTGGTGGGTGGGTGGGTCTATCGGTGGGGCCATAAAATGTAACTTCTTTTTATGGTAGCATCCCTGAGATGAGGGGATGGAAGAGGAGAGAGTGGAGGTAGGGGTGGAGGAGTGTGAGGAGGAGGTGTTGCTGGGATTTGAAGCGGCGGAGAGCAGAGATGGAAGGGAGGGCCAATGTTCGGCTCTGAGCCAAAAAAAAGGACATGGCTCTTATAGCCTGTTTGTACATGTGCAGGTGTGTGTGTGTGTGTGTGTGTGTGTGGTGTGTGTGTGTGTGTGTGTGTGTGTGTGTGTGTGTGTGTGTGTGTGTGTGTGTGTGTGTGTGTGTGTGTGTGTGTGTGTGTGTGTGTGTGTGTGTGTGTGTGTGTGTGTGTGTGTGTGTGTGTGTGTGTGTGTGTGTGTGTACCATGGAAACCTCAGCAAAAAACGAGAAGAGCAGATGAGCGATGCAGAGGCTATGATCTAGTTAGATTGAGACACAGCCTTATTGGAGTCGTGATTAGATTATGATATTCCGGCAGGCGTCATATAAACAGAGAAGGGACACATAAAAAACGTTCTGTGTTTTATGATAACATCATTGGCAGGATAATGAGGACTCCACGGTGGATCTGGAATAGGTAAGTAGCTGTTTTTTAAACGGTGCCCTCTGGGGTGCTTGACTTATTCCCAGAGGGGAGTCACCAAACAAAAATCTGGAAATTGTAATTGAAAAAATAACTACATTTTTTAATTAAGCTGAGAATGTAATGTAGTCCAATTATGCATCAAATCAACAAACATTTCTTCAAATCTATTATCTAACTAGCTGCTTACAGGGCAGTGAGCAAAAAAACAACACACAATAAAAAATAAAAAAAACATTGGCCCGTAGCAAACACAACAAATGTTACTTACATGTAAACAAATGAAGGATATTTGTCAAAAGGGCCTCAGACAAAATAATGAGAAGAAGGACTGGGTTTAATCCGTTAGATTGATGAGTTGAAAACATATCCCTTGCCTTAGGTTTTCTACTCTGCTTTCTGCTGCGACAGCGCCAACTTCATCAGTTAAAGTCATCCCTTTGCCCTTCAATATGTTCATTGCATTTAGGCCTGCTGCCATAGTGAATGAACATGGTGAACAGGGTGTGCATTTTCTTGATTCTTGTTGTTTTGTATCATTGAAAGCTTTCCCTAGATTTCTGCAAAACCACTGCAAATACACATAACCTAGTCAGTTATATGGTAAAACAGAAAGCTTTTTTATTTTAAGAGAAAGTCCTTCTACTGATTTATGTTGTCGCGGTAGAGGTATGCACCTTCATTTTTAAAGACAGCAAACCGATTAATTAATCATTCTCACAGAGTAGACTGTTCCCTAACAACACCTACTGGGCCACACAGCACTGAGAATACACAGGCCTTATTCTCCACTTTGGTATGGAAATTCTACCTTTATTCTGATAAAACTATTCTAAAAAGATGTTTTTTTTTCAACAATAGCTCTTATTAAACTATTATTTATTCATAAAAATGCTAATTACGGGCATCCAATGTTTTTTTTTTGTAAATTAGTGTGAAGGGGCACTTGAATTACCTTTGCTTAAGTGAATCCAAATTTGATCCTGTGGGTGTTATTTTGATAATAGAGAGCAAAGATAAAGACAAAGCTTTAAAAAAAAATGTGTAATCCACATCTTAAAAGGGTCACACAAAGAGAGCATTCAAAACTTATGTTCTGGTTGAGTAGGGATCTCCATCAGATTTGTATCAGACTCAAATAATATATAAGTGTCACTTTAATTGTAACAATTCACCCTGTACAAAATACTATCTTCAGGATCCATTACCTTATTCCACCGACAGAATAATTTTATAATAAAATAAATAACACAATGTACACACTGTCATTCTTATTACGTTGTAAAATAATATCTTGTCAGTCATCACATGTTTCCCTGAAAACGACAGGAATTATATTAAACGGATATAACACGTCATACAAAGTATAATACATCAACACCCCATAATTAAATGTCATTTTCATTGACATCCTCCTGGAAACAGTAATGGTAAAAGCAGGATGGAAAAAAAGCTGGTTGGAACCCTGCAGCTGCCGATGATTGACTGATGAATGAGTAAACAGTGACCTCTGTTAACTGTCACAGCGAAGCACAGAGAGAGTCTGAGACACACAACAGAAGAGGACAGGGACGCATAGCGAGGGAATCAGGATCACACAGAGGGGGGGGGGGGTGCAGAGGAAAGGAGAAGTCAATGGATTGACAAAAGATAGAACTTAAAGCTAAGCCAGTGGCAGCAGCTACTGTCAAATACCTTGTTTCCTCTGTAAAAGCCATCGGCATGACAATATTTCTTATTTATGGTGCAAATTATTCACTCTTAAAAATGTACATAGAACACACAGAGCAAACAGGCATACAATAAAGCAAATTTATAAGCTACAAGGATCTAAATATCACACGTGCATATATTTTTATATAAGTAGACCAAAGAAAGCTCAAAGGGATAAGAGCCTATGAGAGAGATTGAGAGTGACCGTCAGTGTTAACTCCAGAAGTCAAAATTCTAATTTTAATATCATTTTTTAAGAACAATTTTAAAGTTACATAATTGTTGATACGTAATAAAAATAGTGCTTAAGGAAGACTGTTTCCTGTGTCCTCTAAACTGTCCCTTAACATATACCACATTTAGCCTGAATAGTCTTGAGACACTTTATCCCCAAACATGTTGTCTGTAAAAGCTGGAGGACTGGTGGTTTTGTACATTTAACTAAATGCTTTGTTACATCTAAATTGTCAGTGAAAGTTACCAGTGTGCTCTTATGTTGACATCAACCAAAATCAATGGAGAGTTTTGTTTCCTGAAAACTGTGCTGCTACCTTTTTCTGGGTGAACAACATTTTTCTATTGGCGAGATCCACAAATCGTTACAACTTGCAAGGCGATGGTAATGTAACCAGAAATGTAGAGGAGCTAATCTCTTATGTAATTTATTGCAACTGGCCACTACTGATGCATGACTGTTCCACTGTTAGGCCTACCTTACCACCACATTGACTGTGGCTTCTGCAATTATGTTAGATGGTACAAAAGATTGTATGTTAAAAAAATGCTCCAATGGATACTGTAATGGAAACTGGAGCAAGGAGTCGAAACACAATGAGAACACGGTAGAGCCCCAAGTCGATGGCAAACGCTGAAGATGTATTTGAAGTTACAGCCTGAGAACTGACAAAGACATTTGCTGCAGCAACACATTGACACAGCTCCTGCTCAACGAATTCTGAAGATCTCCAATTTGTGTAGTTCAAGACTAAACTATTCTCAAGGAAAGAGAGAAAGCGGCAACCAAGGTTGCATGCCTGAATTCCTAACTATAGGAATAGAGTGATAAACTGCGTAAAAAGCAGATACCTTGGCAAATATTTTCCTCAACAGATACATTCCAGTCAAAGTATTTTTTAAATCACAATTTTCAAAACTAAACAAAAGAGAAAGAATAAGGACAGCAGGTTGATCAACCACCTTCTACATTTTGAGCATTCCATTTGAATCAGTGGAACGTTCATAGTTCACCTTTTGGTTGTTGAAATGGGAGGCTGTGGCTCAGTGGATAGTGCACTGAACTTGGAATCAGGGGATAGCAAGTTTGAGTCCTGCTGCAGTCAGCATGTTGTTGTGTCCCTGAGACATTTCACCCCAAATTGCTCCTGTGGGGATTGGCCACAGTACTGAATGTGTGTAAGTCGCTTTGGATAAAAGCGTCTAACAAGTGATATGTAATGTAATGAAAGTTTAAACATTGGAATACTTTAGCAAGTTTTGGCACAAGATGGAAAATTAATAACATGCATTGTAACATGATCTGTGATTGTTGGTCACCATTTATAGTTTTCATAAGTCGCCGAATGGTGCATCATTTTAAATGTTGCGGAAGCAAGGTATTGTGGGACTGCTCCTTCACCTTTCCTTGCTTAATGGTCCAGTGTATCCTATGCTAAAGGAGATAAGGGAAGAATTGAAGCCCCTTTTCTTATCTACAGAATTCAAACAGGTTTTATCATGGCTGCCACTTACTGTAGGTAATTCCGGTTCCTTTCACTCTGTTAGGAACCTTTCTGCGTAACCTATGTCTCACCAGAAGAAGAGGGGGTTGTCCCTCTAGGGAAGCCAAGACAGAGGAGACAGACAAAGATATCACTCAGGCCCGGTTCTACAGGGGTGCATAAGGGTGCATTGCACCCTCAGTTGAGTCGTTATGCACCCTCATTTAAAAAAAAAAAAAGTGAAAAAAAAGTGAATAATATTACATATATAATAATAGTAGTAATAAGGAGAAGAATTTAGTTGAAATAAAATAAATTGTAATTGTGGTTAAATAACATTGTCTGCTGCATTTATTTGGTCAATTTAAACGGTAAGTAACATTATTATGTCAGGTGCGCGTGACCTGTGCCGCTGCGCGTTCGTCATCTGCAAGGTGCTTACACAGCAGTCAGTGATGGACATCAGAACATGGTTAAAACAACCAGCCCTTATCGCCAGCAGTAACACTGCATCTACTGCAGGTAATAACAGTTCAGATCATGGGGACATTACGTTACCCGCGGCCACTGTCGTGGTCAGTCCTCCCGCCTCGCCCACGGAGGCGGAGCCCCAAACGCCGCCACCCCTCAGCAGCCCGCAAGTGCCAGAGGACCTCGGCAAAACAGATCCTGCCCAGGTATATTTAAA